AGCTGCCATCTTGGATGTTTTGGAACATTTGGGCTTTTGGCCTTCAAAATTCAAATATTTCACTTTGGCTTCTTGAATTTCTCTTATTTCTTCATTTACTCAAGGGCATTTGTTGAGAGATGCGAATTTTGAGATTTATTCTTCATTAACCTGCAATTAAAGATAAAAACAATTATTAATTGTATATTTATTCATATAAAATAGATAATGAGGGTATAAAATTGTAATAAAATATAATTATCTGCAACCTTCCTGCATATGATAAATTTCTGTAATTCATACAAGACTGGAATTGGTCAGAAATTTTACTGAATAGAGGTGCACAATCTGTGTATGAAAGCCTTTTGCATATGAGAAGAACACCAAGGTATCTAATAGGCATTGTCCCCTCTGAAAATCCCAAGCATTTGAAAATAGAGGCTTTAACTGATTCTTCAACTCCACCATAAAAGATTGAGCACTTATTTGAATTTGCTTCTAGACCAGAAACTGCACAAAAATCCCTGAAACATTGATAAAGCTTATTCACTGAATATAGGCCACCTTTAGAGAATAGGAGGAGATCATCCGCAAATGTTAAGTGAGTTATTTTGAACTTCCTGCATCTCGGATGAAACTTGAAGTTCATGTCATCCTTTAACAAGTGTTGTTAAACACGAATTCCTGAACTTCAACTATCTCTTGGTTCTATTTATTTTTTGATATAGTTAATGAAGCTCCATGTTCGGCCATGGCTACCCCAAGGATATGTTCCAGTGAAAAACTATTATTTAATATAGTTAAAGGAAGCAACATATTCGGCCATGGCTACCCCAAGGATAAGGTCTAGTGAAAAAATATTATTTTATAGTAGCTACCTACTTGTTATCCATAACAATTGTCCTTCTCCTGTCCTTAGTCTACGCAAAAGAACTATAAACTATTTAAGATAAAAACTTAAAAAAATAGTTTAGATCATATACCTTGTTTCCCACTCTTATTTGGGAAACTAATCTTCAAACTCTCTGATGAAGATGAATTTGTAAGAAGAAGAAAAAGCCGAAAAAAAATTGCTTGCCGCCCAATGCCTTCACTTCTATGATCACGATCTCCTTCACAATGAGTTGTGGGACTCCTAGTTTAATTGATGAACACACCTTGAACTACAGATTTTTCTCACCTACTTTGTAGTTGGGTACCCAAGGCTTTTATACCAATTTTTAATTGCCTCATCTGGTATTATTTAGTCTTATCCTACCAAGGATTTTTCAGATTAGAACTTCATTTCAAAGTTCGATCCAAAACAGAAAGGCTCCAAATATAATGTTGGTTAAGATTCCTAGTTTGAAACAAACCATATCCTAAACAACCTCCCTTATCACTAATTGAATAATATTAAATCTCTAAAACAGCACAACTGTGCGTTTTCAGCCTTTAAACAGGCCCAACTCTGCGTTTTTAGCCTAAAACGCAGAGTTCATCTCTAAAACGCATGCGGCCTGTGCGTTTCGACTCCCAGCGAGCGCCCAACTCTGCGTCTCATCTTTAAGACGCAGAGTTAAGGTCCGAACGCAAGCGGCCCTTGCGTTTTCAACTCCCAACAAGCGCCCAACTCTGCGTCTCATCAATAAGACGCAGAGTTAAGGCCCAGAACGCTGTTTTCAGCGTTTTGACTCGTTCAAAGCACTAACAGAACGGTTTCAAAACCGTTTTCCCCACTATTTCGGGAGCTGTTTAAGAGGGGGTGGTTACACCCCACTCAGCCCATGGAGGAGCTAATTAAGGGGGCAGTTGCCACCCCTAAACCCCCTATAAATAGTGGGAAACTCAACTGAGTTCGGGCTCTCCTTTTTTTTTGGCTTTTGGCTCTGGGCTCTGGGGGGGAGCTGACTTTTTGGGGATCCTTGATCGAGCATCTTGCCGCGTTCTGCAGCAACAAGGAGTTTTGGAGACCAGCAACAGGAGCTTCTTCCTTGGCTTATTAACCCGACTTTCGGTTCAAATCAACTCTTTTTCAAGAGTTAAAACTCGTCAGAGTTATCAACTCGATCAGAGTTCAAAACTTGCTCTGCAAGTTCTTCTAAAACTCGTCAGAGTTATCAACTCGATCAGAGTTCAAAACTTGCTCTGCAAGTTCTTCTAAAACTCGTTCAGAGTTATCAACTCGTCAAGCACGCAAGTTCTCCACAGCGTCAAATCGTGAGGAGAAGACATCGTTCCAGTGAATCAAGACGTTCGGATCGTCAACGGAGAGCAAACTCGACGCGAGCATTCGAGGGAGGCATCTCATCGCCACCGTGAAGAACCCAGAATTAAACAAGGGGGAGAATCAAATTCATTCTCCTCTCTTTTGTAATCGGAATCCAAATTGTAATCGATTTTGAGAGGAATACAAGTCAATTTTTCTTTCATTGTCTTTTTACTTCAAATTTCCAACAAACACTCCACCACGCTTTACTGTAGTTAATCTTAATGCCAAAATTAGAGAGCATGTCGTTCTTGATATCGACCGCACGAAGATCTGGCCTAACCTTCAAAACAGCTTGTATTTGGCTAGCAATGAACTTCCTTGATGCCCTTGAGTTGCCAGCATTTGCTCCATGTTGACCGCAGGTGTGGGTAGACTCGAAATTCTTTATGGACATGATAGACGAATTTCTGAGCGGGGAAGCAAACAACATCCAAGGGCAACCATGTGTGTGTTTGAATCGGCAATAGACTCTTATGCGTCTTTGTTCATTGTGGTAAAAATCATACTCGAACCGTTTAGCAATTGAATAGTATTGAAGTGCTAATCTAACTTCAGCAGCACTATCAAATTTCTGACCAACTTCACGTATGGAGGTGTGCCACTCAGTTGGGATCTTTGTTTGGTGATTAAGCATGTCTTCCAGCAGCATGATCGAGTCGCCGGTGGGGTTGTCATTAGGAATACGCTCATCATTACAGGTTTGGGTGAACGGGGTATCTGCGCACCGCGAATTTTCTGTCGGTATTGTCCTGAAGTATAAATCAAAATACATAGCCTTAGCAACGAACTGATAACCTTAACAACGAACTCATAAACGTAACAACCTACACATATCCTTAACAACTAACCCTTATACTTAAGGGCAGACTCGTGACCTTAACAACAAACGCATATACTTAACATCAAACACCATAACTTAGCAACCAACTAGTATACGTAACAGCCAACAAATAACTACCGCCAACTTTAACAACTACTACGTATAGTTAGCAACCAAAAGGTAAGAGTGATTTCAGAAGAATAAAAAAGATAAGGACCATCTCAGTGAATCGTAAGCCTCATCATCGTCACCGAACAGGTCCTGTTGAGCTGTCTCCTTGCTCCACCACGCTTTACTGTAGTTAATCTTGATGCCAAAATTAGAGAGCATGTCGTTCTTGATATCGACCGCACGAAGATCTGGCCTAACCTTCAAAACAGCTTGTATTTGGCTAGCAATGAACTTCCTTGATGCCCTTGAGTTGCCAGCATTTGCTCCATGTTGACCGCAGGTGTGGGTAGACTCGAAATTCTTTATGGACATGATAGACGAATTTCTGAGCGGGGAAGCAAACAACATCCAAGGGCAACCATGTGTGTGTTTGAATCGGCAATAGACTCTTATGCGTCTTTGTTCATTGTGGTAAAAATCATACTCGAACCGTTTAGCAATTGAATAGTATTGAAGTGCTAATCTAACTTCAGCAGCACTATCAAATTTCTGACCAACTTCACGTATGGAGGTGTGCCACTCAGTTGGGATCTTTGTTTGGTGATTAAGCATGTCTTCCAGCAGCATGATCGAGTCGCCGGTGGGGTTGTCATTAGGAATACGCTCATCATTACAGGTTTGGGTGAACGGGGTATCTGCGCACCGCGAATTTTCTGTCGGTATTGTCCTGAAGTATAAATCAAAATACATAGCCTTAGCAACGAACTGATAACCTTAACAACGAACTCATAAACGTAACAACCTACACATATCCTTAACAACTAACCCTTATACTTAAGGGCAGACTCGTGACCTTAACAACAAACGCATATACTTAACATCAAACACCATAACTTAGCAACCAACTAGTATACGTAACAGCCAACAAATAACTTTAACAACCAGTGCTTAACATAACCTTGACAGCCAACACATTACCAAAGCAACCAATGCATGAGGTTAACAACTAATGGCAAAACCTATCAGTGAACTCAAAAGGAAATCTGGAGTGTAATTCCTACGCAGTTTCCGGCGTAGTCTGCGTGTTCTGCGAAGTTGAGGATTCCGCAGCGGAGGTGGCATACAAATTCGCGTCTGTAAATCCATTACGCCGACAATACTCGAACATCAAATTTAAGTCGTCGTCATTGTCAATTGAAATGCTGAATTTCTTTTCCCTTTCGCATATGAACTTCAGTGAAAGAGATTGCATTGGTATTTTAAGCCTTTCCGCCACTCGATATTTCAAGCTGATTATTTCTGTATTCTCTTTGATAACGACGAATACACCGTCACCACCTTTGTTGCTTTTTGCCTTCGTTACCACGCATAGAAGAGATCCATCCGCCATTTTATTACAGGGAGTGGTTGAAGAATCGAAGAGGCTTTTATTGAGGATAATTAAGTGGAAGGAACAACTTAGCTTGAAGGGGGATATAGCTGGTGATAATATCTGATGATAATTTTGGAGGGAAATGGGAATCCCCCTCCCCCAAAAAAAAAGTCATTCATATCACCATTTAATGCCTACAGTCGAAACGATGGGTTTCCGTCGTGAGAGGGCGACGAACACATGCTGCGAAGGGTATTTTGGGCATTTCGAGCGGTGTTTAAACGGAAGGTGGCCTGGGGATTCGTTTTGGGGGCTGGAAGAAAATCGGGGGCGGTTTTGGGGGTAAAAGGCACGTTGAAAAGGTCTTGGGGGGACAGAGCACGTTCTGTGTTGTTTTGGGGGCTGGAAGCAATTTTCCCTTTTGTGAAATTTAGGCTAATTATTTACCGAAAATACCGCCCACAACCTTTTGTATTGTCAGTAATCACTGAAAAATGCAGAATAACACGGAGAAGCTCATTTTGGTTGCGGTGGACTCCCGTCTCAATTCGCGTTGACCGGAGATGGTCTCCGCCCTCCTCCTCCTCATCTCTCTCCTCTCTCTTCTTTCTCCGGCGATCTCACAAAATCCCCAATCTCGAGGAGGTAAAAAACCCTAATCCCCTCCCTTATTTATTTTCTCGACTACTCATCAATTTAGGGTTTCATAACACATGTTATGAACAAGAATTAAGCGAAACCTGAAGCTGAGAACTGAAGAAGAGGAAAGAGGATTGTTCTTCTGACCTACTCCGTTGCTAATTAATGTAGTCAATTAAGTAGTTTGGTTAATATAGGGTTCACTCACGTGAAATTGGCCTTAAAGCAACTCGAAGCGACGACAATTTGATTGTCACGCTTGAGGTATGCGATGAGAAATAGATGTGTCTTACGGGAGCTAGAGCTTGCTCCTATTGAGGATAAGATGAGAGGGGGTTGTTTTCGTCGTCGTCGTCGTCATCGTTGTTGTTGGACAGATTTTTTTTTCATGTTTTTGATTAACTGTAGGACGGTTATAAGACCAACAATGCTTTACGGGTCAGAGTGTTGGGCAATTAAAAGCAACATATACAAAAGATGAGTGTAACAGAAATGAGGATGTTGTTATGGTCTTGTGGGTATACGCTAAAAGATGGGATAAGAAATGAGTGCATCCGTAGTAAATTAGAGGTTGCTCCTGTTGAGGACAAAATGAGAGAATCAACTAAGATGGTTTGGTCATGTACAATGGACAACTCTTAGTGCGCCGGTTAGGAAAAGTGATAGTATTATAGCTAACAGGGTTAGGAAATCTAGAGGTAGACCTAAAAGACCAATTAAGAAGGATATGATGATAATTAACTTGACGGAGGAGATGTCCCATAATAGAATGGAATGGAACAATAAGATTTATGTAGCCACCCTCAAACATTTGAGATAAAAGCTTTGATGTTGTTGTTGTATGTTTTTGATTAACTTTCTATAGAGTAGTTCTGTTTAGGTGGTGCGACTTGTTTGTTATCATTTTATTTTTAATGCATATGATTGTAGGTTGCTATTGGACGGAATCATGCCAAAGCAAATGGTTTGGAGGATGCCCTGCTGGTCACATCATAACAGATGAGTCGGGTGATTGCAAAGGTCTCTGTGGAGAACCAAGTTATCCGCCATGTCTTCCATTTCATACTCATTTCCACTGTTGCAAGCCAGGTCAGTGACTAAGTTACTCAACTAGTGAGTTTTAATTAATTTCATATTCACTCTTAAATGAATTGCCTGGTTTGCTTTGAACTTTGACTTGTAATTTTCTCTACTAGCATAGCCATTCATATTCAATCGATTGATCATAACCATAGATTTTTTAAAAAAAAGATTATTTTGTAGGGGAGTATAAACCCATACCAACTGGGTTCAAAGTTTAATAACAGTTTAACCCATTTTCTTTCATTGGAAAGTGGAAAGGAACCAGATGGATGGAAATCTGGGGCCCAAAGCACTACGTATTAGAGTTTCTACGTGAATCATTGAATATGAACTGGTTTAATATGAAGTAGCTAAACACTTGGTACATCTCTTGAGTTTGAGGTGGAAATTTAATATGAAAGAGGGGAATCTTATAGCTAAACAAGCAATGCCATATATCTGTAGCCTCTTCTTAAGCAAATGAAATGATGAACAAGACTGTAAGTGATATTTCCTTGAATAAACGAAGAAAAAATAATCCCAAGGGGACAAAGTCACAAAACTATCATGACTCCTGAGTTCTGACATAGCCAAAAAATGATATTTGGGATCTGTGGTTCCAAACATTCCCCAACTTTTAACAGATTGATATGGTTGGCAACGGCAATTCAGGTGACATAAAAGTATCGTTGTCACCCTTATATGTTCATACATGTCATCCCTGACGCATACAATATCCATTCGTCTTGGTTTGGAGAATTCTTTGTATATACTCTAAACATGCATTTTTCCTTGTCATACTAGAATTAAGACATTTCATTTGTTTAATCAATACATTGTAAAATAAATTAAAGCAACAAAGCGAATGACATTTTCTGCAAAAGTGGCACAGATTATACAAACTATAAGTTTAGTAGAAAAGCATAAAAATGAAAATTGTCAAAATTTTCTAATTAATTTGTAAAAAAAAGTTTTTAAACATTGTCAAAGTGTCTATATGTATTCCAAGCCTACTCGAAATTGATACCTGCATTGCTGTTTGAAGTAGCCACAAGAATTTTTCATGCGCTCTAGTAAGCAGAAAATTGAAGTAGTCATAAGAATTTTTTGCAGAAGCGTACTTCATTAAACACTCATTCTGTTCTTTCCATTTTCTTGTGTATCTGTGAAGAAAATCCAAAGGTAACAGACAGATGCACCAGATGCAAGAATAAGTTGGACTTCAGTGAGGAGTACATTTGTTGCACTGATTGCTCGGACCCTTATCTCATAGACAAGAGCACTAAGTTTGGTTATTGCAAGACCGGGGCAGAGTTGGCTATGCAGTTGAAGCCACAAGGTATTTGCACTTAATGGCGTTCTTGCTATTTTGATTGTTATGGCTCCTGCACTCCACATGATATGATTGTGTTGTTATGTATAAACATTTGATTTATTTCACTACTCACTAGTAAGGAATGCAATTGCTCATGGCATTGTGAATGAAACAGAAGGTAATTGTGATATTCGTGTAACCCATTACATGACTTCTATGTTTGATTTTCCTTCATGCAGAAACTTTAAGATGGGTTGCTGGTCCATGGATGAAATGTTCCTCCCCTTGTGACGGTGGAGTTCGTTATAGAGATGTGGGCTGTTTTGGGAGCCTGGAGGACACATCTATTAAACATTACCCAGTGGATGATAGCAGGTGTCCAGCAGAAGCAATGGTATTTTTTAGTGATTGTTAGGCAAAATTTTGATTCGTGATAGTTCTTTTATAACTATCTTCGTATCTGTTAATAATCCAGTTTGTTACACATCCTACGCAATATTTGCTGAAAAAAAAGTTATTTATGTTTTGTACTTCTCATTGATAATTTATTTATTTTATTGCATTTTTACTTTTTAACTAAGATGGTGTCTCTTTTAGTTACTTTCTCCATCTCTGTTTATGCACCATATTTGACTTTTGGAACACGATATCTGGTAGATGCATAACTCCTAGTTTTAGCTAGTAGATAAATATGGTAGATGAAGGCATAATTTTACTTCAGAGCATACTTTTTTTTTAATTTTGAAGTTGACCATGTTTGGAACTTAAGAGAAGATTGAGGAGCACGGAGATGATTGATGTTGTGACAATGGGGAGAATGAAGAAAATAAGGTAGGTGCTCTCCATTAAGGCAGGGGAATGAGAGGAAGGAAATCTTATAGAATTAGCAAAATTTGAAACTTCAAGTATTTTTAGGTACATAACAAGTAATACTCGGTACAAACCTCTAAACAATTAGATAAATCCAGGTAATAACCTATAACAACTTCTACTCGAGATATTAGCATCATTTCCATCTCTCAGTAATGAGAGATAAGAGTAACAGCCTTGCGCCTCCACTTTGCTTGAAATTTGTGTTGTTCCATCGTAGTAGAATTACTTCTGGTTAAACTTAGGGACTCGAACCTCTTGCGGTGACCATAATCATTATGCCAGAAAGCAAAACACTTCATCAAAGAAGCGTACGTGGGAAATAAGAGCCTACATACTAGTAATTATTATTTCTCTTCGTAAAGCTAATGACATACATCTTTAATCAATTTTATTTTTTCCCTCTTCTATGTTTTATTGTAGTCATTAAATTGCAGTTCTTACCATATAATTTGGAAATGACGTGAAAAAGACAGGGAAATTGTTGACGCGCTGCTTTTAAGTTCATGTATATGCTTGAGTACAATGCCTAATTGCTGTGCTTTCATTCCAAGCTGGTATGTTATTCTTAATTATGCTTACTAATTACCGTCCTATATGGCAGCCTGCTAGGCAAGAGGCTTGTAATGTGAAAAGCTGTTCAGAGCTCAACATCAGTGATGTGAGTGAAAACAGGCCAAGTGGGATGTCTGGATGGTTGATTACATTGCTTGTTCTTCTTGGGTTAGTGGCAGCTGGAGGGCTTGTATTTGCTGGATACGTATTTTACAAAAGGTATTAATGATCCCTACCCTTGCCTCATATTGAATTGTTTCAGTAATTCAGCATCATTTTTAGTGTTTTATGATCAGATACTGTGAACCATTGTTAAGGTTGGTGCATAACAAGATATAGAGTTGAGAAAACTAAACAAGAAACAAAGAGTATTAGCTGTATTTTTGAAGTCTTTTAAGGGAACATGCAATCTGTCTGAGGTAATTGCGAATTGAATTAAGTGTTGCTCGTTGAAATCCTGCTAGATGGTTACATGTCCACCTGTTTCATATGCCTTTAGGCTTTAACAAAAAACCTTTCTACTATCATTTGGTACAAATCCTTCATTTCTATTGCGGTGCTAGGTAAAGAAGTGAAGTAGTTTGAAATTCGTATGAGCTAACGAAAATTCTTTTGAGCTTAGTTGGGGTTTACAGTTGCTCGGTTGTTATATCTATAAAGAAAGAACCTGACTTCTCTTACACTGACAATCCTTATTAGAGAGCAATAGTATAGTTATTCTGCATATATGACTCAGATTCACTTGTTAATGATTTATTTATTTATTTATTTTTTGTGTGTAAATTGCAAGAGCCCCCCTTTAACATATGGATAGGCTCTGCAAGAAATCCCATGTTCTGTTAAAATTCTGCTTGTAACCACCTAATTCTTTTAGATTCCCCCGGATAAATGTATGTTATATTTCATCTCAGATAACCCTTACGAACAACAATCAGAGGGTTGTCTGATGAATTAATACTTAGTACGAGGGGTTTCTTTATGGCATCCTATGGAACAGGACATTGACGTCACATGCGTTCAAGAGGCATAAGTGCTAAAACAAGGGGAGAATTTTTTTTAGAAAGATGAGCGGCTAACTTCCAGCATACCAGCTGTGCATGTATTTGGGTTCGTCTGCGTTAAATACCGTGACCATAATTCTGAATGTTAAATTTTCTCGTATTCTCTGCAGGCGAACATCAGCTCCTACGGGATTTGTTTACATCATGCTGGAAGGATACTCTTGATCAGATTGTTTTACTGCCATTTTATTGATTGTTTTCTGCTCCCTGATCTTGAGCAGGCTGGTGTGTTTTGTATTGTATATTTCGTCGGGAAGATGTCAATATCAGCAGGACCGGAGTATGTCGAATCACCCCCCAGTGGGTTTGGCTTGTAATGTTACTTCTTTGTTTATACTTCCGAAACATATTTTGACCAGGCTGATTTGAGTCACACCATGTTGATTGATGAAATTGGTCCTTTTTAAAAGAGGACCCCAGGCTGAAGCCCGAGTTCGATCCCCGTTCTCTACCAAGAAAACTCTGGGTTTGTGGATCCTGCCTTCCCTTCCCATGCTCCAG